TGATAACATAAAAGTGAATATTGAACGCAATGAGTCAAGGCTAGATCAACTTGATCGTTTTGATACAACTGTGCGTGATGGACTTGAGACATGCAAAAACGAATTAAAAGAAACGTATGCTGGCATCGTTAGTAAAGGGGGTGGTGCAAATATTGACGCCATCAGGAGTGAAGTAAAATCGTTTCAGAAAGCTCTGGATGAGGCAAATGAAATTAAAGAGAGGGAATCAAACCTGCTGATGTTTCGTCTATCGGAGAGTGATGATGATCGTGGTAATGTCCTCAAGATTTTGAAGCATCTGTCGGAGGATGTTTCTGATAAAAATGTTATCAAGGTTTTTAGACTTGGAAAAAGACAAGAATCAGTAGTTAGACCTGTGTTGATAAAGTTGGACAATGTATTTCTTAGAGATTCAATAATGAGAAATGTTAAAAAATTCAAATCTTTGCAAGGTTTCTCACACGTCGGTTTAAGTCATGATTTGACAATGGACCAGAGACAGGAATATAAAACATACGTAGATAGAGCCAAAGCCATGGAAAAAGAAGAGATAAATCGGAATTTTTTGTTCAGAGTGAGAGGACAGGTCGGAAGGTGGAAGATTGTAAAATTACCTCGAAAGCAGATGTAAATAGTTCTGAAGATAATGATTGTGGTGCAAGTGATTGTAAAATTACCTCGAAAGCGGATGTAAATAGTTCTGAAGATAATGATTGTGGTGCAAGTGATTTATCTAAGACTAATTATAATGTAATGTTAGGTTTATTAAATATCAGATCGATAAATTCAAAATTTGATGCTGTCTACGATTTAATTCACAACGGGTTAGACATTTTTGTTTTGGTTGAGACCTGGCACGGATCGTCGAATAATATTTCTGTTAGATCTTCAGTTCCTCCTGGATATAACTACGTTGATTTTTTAAGAATAAATGATCCTTACCATGGTGGTTTAATTATATACTTCAGAAATGAATTTAAATTTAAAAAAATTGTCTTACCTATGTTTGGATCGTTCGAAGCACTTGCTCTAAAGTTATTTATTAGAAGAACAGATTTTATTTTATTAGCCATCTATAGACCTGGATCGGCACCAGTTACTAATTTATTTTTTGAAGAACTTTTATGTTTACTAGAAAATATTGCTTCTTTTAGTTCAAATTTAATAATTTTGGGCGACTTTAACATTCATATAGAAAAGCTGAATGATCGGCATACTTTAAATTTGTTAGAATTGTTTGACATGTTTCAGTTGAAAAACTTAATCAATCAATCAACTCACGAACGGGGAGGTATACTTGATCTGATTGTTTGTTCAGAAGATTTTTTGGTATCAGATTTAAACATTTTTCCATGTGGGATTTTGTCCGACCATAGCTTGATACAGGCTCGTATACCATTAACTTACGAACATCCTAAAACTGTCATGAAAATGGTTAGATCATGGAGATTTTTGGATGAGACCAAGCTGTTTAAACACGTGGAAAACTCACCACTATCAAGGTCATGTCTGAGTGGTGACATCAGTTTTGAATTTGATATTTTGAATACTGAACTCAAGAAATTGGCTGATGAAATTGCTCCTTATCATTTTACTAAAGTCAGATGTGATGTTGCTGCCCCTTGGTACGATTATGAATGTAAGACAATCAAAAGACTTTGTCGTAAAAAAGAAAGAAACTACAGAAAATATCAGTCTTTTGAATGCAAAGGTGACTGGATTGCTGCTCTAAAAAACAAATCTCGAATTTTTTCCCAAAAAAGGAATTATTATTGGAAGAAACTTATCAACGAAAATTGTGGATCTCCTAAAGATTTATGGAAAATAGTAAACAAAGTATTATGCAATCAAGTTACTGGCGAATCATCTAATGAAATTATAAATCTAGATTCGTCTCAGTTTGTGAAATTTTTTGATGATAAAGTTAATAGAATAAGACAGACTACTAATGTTACCAGCAGACCGGCAATGGATCAGACAATGTCTAATATGAACTGCTCTTTTTCTGATTTCACGTTTCTTACAGAATTGGAGGTTAAAAGAGTAGTCCTCAGTTTGCCATCTAAAACATGTTTGATTGATAGTTTTCCTACGCACATTTTTAAAAAATACATTGATCTGTTCATAGTTTTTCTGACGAGTTTTATAAACTTGAGTTTAAGCAGTGGTTCTTTTCCTCTTGGGTGTAAACAAGCTATTGTTTATCCGGTTTTAAAAAAGGTGAATATGGATAGAAATGACTTGACTAGCTATAGACCAATTTCCAATATTTGTTTTATTTCTAAAGTGATTGAACAAGTGGTTACTAAACAGCTTCTTAATTATTTGACTTTGAACAGCCTATTACCAGTGCATCAGTCTGGATATCGTCGACATCACTCAACTGAGACAGCACTGCTTTATGTTTTCTCTGAACTGTTTGCTGCGCTGGACAGACAGCATGTGGCATTGGTAGCTTTCTTGGATATGAGTGCGGCATTCGACTGCGTCGATTATCAAA